AATAACGCATGCGTAAAGAGATGAGACTTCTGTTGAGACGCCTGTGAGAGAGAGTTTGGGAAGCTCCGCCAGCGAGCTGAGGTGTGGAGACTAAATTTGTCCAGTGATGACGAGTGCTATCTTCGTTAACGTCTCTGATCGTGTCACCAACTCGGATATGTACTCAAGTTTTCTAAATGTATTAATTAAATGTTGTATATGTGGTATGTTCTGTAATTAAAGTGATGCATCACCAATACCAGTGTTGATTCGGTTTTCACTGAAGCATCCACGACGTCACAACCCTCTCCTCCCGTATGTTCGTTTTGCACAGCCCACTACAGAGATTATCGTTCAGCAAGACAATGCACCGTGTCATAGCTCTCGAGTTGTATCGGAATGCTTGAATGAACATTCCACAGACCTGCAGGTGCTCTTCTAGCCATCAAGGTCACCTGACCTGAATCCGATCGAGCACATCTGGGATGCAATTGAGAGAGATATTCGAGGCTGCGACTACCTTCCATCTAATGTTCATGAATTGTGGCAGATTGTTCAGAAATCGTGGATACGTATGACTTCCCATAGTTTCCAGTGTATTGTGGAGTTCATGCCAAAACGAATCGCAGCCCTCATCAAGGCGAAAGATGGTCTAGACAGGTATCCTTAATTGCTCTTCAGTGTATACTTTTAAAAATACAGAATTCTGAAATCCTATAAATCATTCATAATAGCTCTGCATTTGTTGCTGATAACTGCCTGACTTTCACTACATGCAAAGCCATTTTGGACATCTCATTAAGAAGTAGTCCTAATAGATTTTAGACTTTATAATCATAAAAACTTTAATTAAAATCAGAAAGTTTTGAATCATATTTTCCGCATCTGTCTTCTTGCTAATCACCACTGACAATTTTTAACAATACGGAATTCCGATACGTCTTATTAACTATGATACAAGACATAATAAAATAACGAAGAACAAATATTTTAATCAACTTATTATAGATTCCCCCTGCGCAACTGATTAGTCATAGATAATTGTTTATTTGAGATAGTGGAAACTGATATGTATTGAAATATTATCTGTCTGACATAATAAAAATACACAAAAAACAATCAGCTGATTAATATATGACAAAAATAAAGTAACAGAATGACAACTTTTTTTATTTCCTCCAAAAGTAAACGAAACCAGTTGATGGGCTCAATATTAATCAAATATTTTCTTAACAAATTTCTGATTTTTTTTTTCTTTAAAGCGGAAACTAATAATTCAAATCTCTGGCATACGCTGTTTTCCATCGGAGATTTGCATTATATTTCAAGTTGGATGTTTCAACAATAGAGACTATAAAGACTGTGATCACGTTTCGAAATTTACACGCAGTGATTCTGAAATTTACAAAAGCATATCTTTTATTTGAGCAATGGAAGGAATTATTCTATACAAAGTCAGGGGAAAATCGCGAAGTTTTCCGTGTAGTGTTTCTTCGGAATTTTTAATGTCTTGTACTTTTAAACCTCAAATATCTCAGAAGAAATAAATAACCTTTTACTTATTGTGTTTATTTATTACGTGCCCTACCATTAGGCACTACACAGAAAGAGAGGGATGCCCCGTAGAGGTGATTTTAAGGGAAGGTGCATTTTATAGCAACCGTATTGGCGCTGTTTGATGAATTTTACGAATGAAAAGTAATAATAACATACGCATACATATTCAACGTTTTAATTATATATTTATACTTAAAAACAATCAGTAAACCAAGTTACAAACAAACGGTTGTTGTGGTGGAAATTTCGTAGCGATCGCTTTTAGAAAGAATTCAAAGCATTGTTCCTTCAACAACTTTGCGAAAAAATAATGCATTCCTGCAGAAATTTCACCTCTTCTATTATAGGAAAATTTTTAAATCACAAATTATAAAACAGAGTCTAAGACAAAAAAATGACCTTAATTTTTCTAATTTGAATTTTGCAAGAAATTACTGCCTAATTTTGCGGGCATTCTAACTAAAAGTAGTTCATGCTAGCTAAATTTTTTTACATATAAAAATAACATAATAACAGAAATTTAAAAATAATAAGAAAACTTCGAATTTTTTTTTTAAGCCCAAACGGCGTTAACCCAGAAGGGCTATTAATTTTGTTTTGGCATTTTACGTCGAAAACTTTAAACTCCCGTTTCGCTTTTCAAATTGTCACCAAATATTACAGCCCTGTATTATATCTAAAGAAATTAAATACCAAAGAATCTGCATAAATGTATGTATGTTTCTCACATTGTGATAAAACAACGATACCTAGAGCCATCAAATTTGAATAGAGTAATTCTTCACCGAATATGGGCATCTGGAAGCCCTGTTTTATTATCAGTTTCATACTTTAATCAGACATTAAAGAATTTTCGATTAACAAACTGAACGATTTCAAAACGAAGAATGGTAACACTGTACGAAAAAAAAATTTTTTTTTTATCTCTAGCGCGCGACACTGTATCGGATATTCTAAAGATATGCTCACTTTAAATTATTTTGCGATATCGCCTTGAATTGAATTTTTTGGTTTAAATGTGAAGAATGTGATATTTAATAAAAAAAAGGTAACACAGAAAAGTTTAAAAAACGCTCCTTTGGGCGTAATGTGAAATCTAAAAGCTTTGAGTTTCCCCTCCCCCGGTTCGCCGTTATTTAAGTTACTATTCAAACTATAATTATATTTTTCTGAAAGTAAATTTAACGTTTCTTGAACTGTCAGGAAGAATACAATTTAATTTTTTATTATTTTGGCATGTCTGGCCTATTTTTAAAGCGTAAAAAATGGCGTAAAAGATCCCCTCTATTGGCTAAATCATTTAACTGAATAATCAAATTTAATTAATTCATGTGATCGTACAACTGAAGCACAAATTTGCATATAGCCACTACTAGTTTTATTTCATGTCAAATAAGAGTGCAACCCAGTGTAAGGAGTTATTCTCATAAATAATTGCAGTCCCATTTTAGTCTTGAAGAATGAATTTTAAGAAAATGCGTATTTTAGTATACAGATCGATCTACATTTTTTATACTGAAGGAAATGATTTGTTTGACATTCTACCCTGTTATAGTCGTGATTTGTTTGCAGTCGCAAGTAAATAAAGTATACCCAAATACAAAGAAATCATTTTAGCTTCCCTCTATAAAAGACACATTTTATTCCTTATTAGAAATGCATGGTATCTGTCAGTATCACTTTAAAATTCCTTTGGACACGTTCACTTGTTATAATGCTTTAGAAGTCCCCAAAAAATTGTAAAAATGTATTTTTTAATTTTTATAGTATTTCAAGTTGTTTCGTATACATCGAAACAGCTTTTTATCGCTGATATATGCAACAATATTCAATGTGGCTTCGCAAAATATATTCACACTTATATAAAATTCTAGTTTTTTATTTCCTTTTTCGTAATCTATAAAGTCTTGTAAACTCGTATTTTCAATGACCAGAAATTGCTTTCTACTTTTTCCAATGTTGGCTTATTAACGTTTGATTGGTTTAGTTTTGTTTATTTAATTATGGCACAGCACTCGAGGGCTATCTGCCTAAGGGAAAGGATGCTTTCGTGGAAGCCTTTCTAAGGAAAACTGGCTCGTATATACACGAAAACACACAACTGTACTGGAAACTGGCTCGTATATACAACTCGCTGCGACAAGGAGGCTCCCGTCCTGGCATCACAGGCCTTTCGGAATTGCGCATGCAACTACCCCATTCGTCGGGATTCGAAACCCGGACAGAACTACCAGTGTTCAGCGGCATTAACGCTCGGCCGCTGGGAGGCCGTCTCAGCGTTCGAAAGCGCACTCTAAGATAATATTCGAATTATTCGATCATATATTGGTATATTTTTATGGTACTTTTCCGTTTCGCCGGCGCAAATCTCGCCAAGCAGACTTTATTGGCGACAACATACAGTATACACGTAAAAAATATTAAAAAAATGTTAGTTCTAAGAATTCTTTTTAAAAAAGAAGGCATAAACATTTTAATGTCGCTTAAAATTTTATAAAAAGCCAATAAATAAAGACAACAAATTTGTAAAAAGACATTAAGAATTTACTATGCTTTCATGGTTCAACATCCTGATTCGCCGGTTCATATCACGTGACCCCAAGCGATCTCATCTCACGTAAACTACTCTACAAAAATCTAATGCTCTTAGTAATTATCCACATTAATTTCAAGTTAAATCTTAATTTGGAACACAAAGTTTAAATGCAAGAAATATTTCAATTCGTACGAATAGCTTACTCAGAAATTATGTAAAAAACTGCAGTGCTTTACTTCGCTAATGCATTCTCATTAGAATTGATGAATTTAACCCTTGACTTTACCTTTTCTATATTTTTCGGCTTCGGGTAAGTGCTGTGATTGCATCCTAATTGACTTAATTACCGAAATTGGCCTTAAACATAAAATCTGAACTATCTGATAAAAAAATTATATGTAATGATATGCCAGTATTGAAAGAAACAATCAATCTGATAAGAAAAAGCTGCGACTTGTTTTGAAAATGAGGCGTAAAAGGTTACCAGCGAGAATATTTCCTTTGGCATGGGTTGTACCATTATTGGCGACTTTATCGCTTGCGCCGGCAAAACGGAAAAGTACCATTTTTATTTTCTGCCTACATAGAGAATCTTATCAATTTATTATTTCTTTCAATATCAGTTACCACTGATTTGCAATAATTAATTTAATCCACTAAAACACCTAGGTTTTCGGTTTTCAAAATTTGGAAGATAGAAAACTGGTCTATTTTGTGGGTAGGTACAATGCAAGGGAACGCTATTTAAGCTCTTCAGTATTTCCATTTTTCCAGCTTTTCGGATAACGGTTGCTTAGTTAAAATGCAAAATCTGAAGCTTTCTAGTATTAACGTTAAAAATAAACTCAATAAATTGTTCATGTAATATTAATAAATTTTTAATAAAACATTAAGTAAGGAAATATTCGTAAAAATTATGAAAACTTACTTTCTTTCTGGTAAAGAACACATTTCCACTATGTATCCAGTTACAACACTGCCACCGTCGTACATAGAGCCATACCAACTAAGTACTAAAGAATGGTCCGTGACATCGCTTACATTTGGTTCTCCACCTGGAGGCTCAGGAAATCCTAAAGAAAGAAGTCTATACTTAAATACAAACTTTTTTGCACAATTTTCAAATCAAATTTCATATGGTATTAAATATTTTAGTATGATATTTATGTGACTGAAGCAATTTATCGCAATTAATACTTCAGTAGCTAAAGTTTCTGTATTAACATTTTAAAATAATAAGGACTGTTGCTATGATATTTAAATAATTGCACATCGCGTTATTTTCATTGCACTTTTTTCAAATTTAAAACACTGAAAATATTATTTAAGAAGGGCTCGTAGTCTTAGTGACATTTTATGTGCAAATATTAACCTTCATCCATTTACGGTCGCAGTGCGTGCTGTCATCGCCGCACAGCCCTTATTTTCGGTTCACCATGCGATGTTCATGTCAACCTTTATTCGTGCACTTTAGGTGAACAAAAAATCGTCTTCGTTATCATGGTTATGAGGCTAACTGGGCGGGAAGAAATGACCCCTAAAATACTTATTTTAAGTAACAGACGAGAACTGGACATATAGAACGGTCAGGTTTGGTTTACTTGATTATAGCAAAGCACGCGAGGGCTATCACCCTAAAGTAGGGTTTCTTAAACTTTTTTCAGTCATGACCGCCTTTTATCACCGAGATTTTTTCGCGACCTCCAGGACCCCATAATATTTACAAAGATTTTGTGGGACCCCATAAGTATTGTGCAAATCTGGCATACGCATGAGTGAAACTCAATTTTTTCACTTGTACTGTAATATACTATTGCAGTTTTAGGTCATAACTTTAATTTTTAATTTTAAGACATAGAACAATGTAAAAAATTTAAATAAACAACAGACGAAATGACAGCGTCACGTGCAAAGCAAGGAAAATGAAATTCAAGCAACGAAATATTATAAAAAGGAATGCGCTGAAACGTTTTCGTTTTTTTCTTTGTCTGTATTATCTTATCTTTATCTATTTTCAGATATACTGTTTAAAAATATTTGGTAATTGTAAAATTATTATAACAAGTTAAAGAAATATCCAAACTGCTAAAATTTTTGGCGACCCCCTGCTACAGGTCCTGCGACCCACAGTTTAAGAAACACAGCACTAAAGGAAAAGCAGCACTAAAGGAAGCTTTCCTAGAGTACTTTCTGAAGGAAACTGGGTCGTATCCACGTTACACATGGGGGAAAACCCCAAGCAGCCAGTCCATTCGCCTGGAATCGAACCCAGGCTGAATTACCAGTATTTGGCGACTATACAACTTGGCCGCTGGTAGGCCAATAGAAGAATGGAAAGGAAAGGATCAAATGTTACGAACAGAAAGCTGGAAAACATTACACTGAAAAATGCCAAATATATGTAAACTGAAAACACATTTTTTTTCCCCAAAATTTGGCAGTAGCATGCAAATCAGATTTCATTTAAAACGCTTTTGATTGATTATATTCTTTGACTTTTTTTGAAATGACTGTCTAAGCTACTTTATTTGAAAACGGATAAGCAAAGGCGATGGCAATAAGGAAAAATATAATCGACTCAATATTTTTACATTGGGCTGTTCGTAAATTGTATCTGTTGATTATCTAGCTAAAACCGTCTGTTGATTTAATTTTCTGCCGGAGAGGCCCACCAGAGGCCGAGCAGTAAAGTCGCTTAACACTAGTAGTTCGTTTCAGGTTTGAATCCCGACGAACGGGCTGGCTGCATGTGCGTTTTCATGGTTTTACCTATGTGTACTGCTTGTTTAGAATGCCCTCCACGAAGGCATCACTACCCTTAGGCAGATAGTCTTCGAGTGCTTTGCCATAATTAACTAAACCATCTGCCAGAATGACTGGCACAAGTTTAGCGACATCTTCACCAACTTTCAAGGGATTTCATAATCAAATAAGATGTTTTAGTTTCATATGTTTATGGACTACGAAATATATCGGCTTTTATGCCTGAGATGCACATTTTTCCCCCTCGAAATTTTACATAATTTTAAATGTGAACTTTTGATGATCAAGTTGATAATAAATGAGATGATGTTTTTCAATAGACCAGAGATTTCTTCCATTCATTTTGCATTTTTAGAGCGAGTTGCATTTATTATACACTCAACTGTTCCGAATTCTGGAATTCAACATTTTTCAATTTTTCCGGATAGTCGAGCTGTACTACTAAAATTCGTGTAGCATTGATTATAAAAAAGCATTTATCTATTCAGTCTTTAAGAAGCAATAGCATTGACGATTAGAGATTCAATGAAGCACACTTTGGCCATGACATTATTTGAGGGGAGGAATACTTCTATAGAAGAATACGTACTATTGCAAAACATCATTGCCAGATGCCTAGATACCACTGTCAGCATCTACCAAGAACAAAGAATATTCATGTTTACACATCTACCAATAACTCTTGGGGATCGACAACAACGCCAACTCTGGATTCGTGACCAAGCTTGGAATTTATTGGAGCCATATCGTATTCAACGATAAATAACAATTTTTACTTGCCTTGGATAATTGAAGAATTAATGTGTGAAAGAAGCCATGCGAACAGTCAGCCCTCTGGAGAACCACACATTTGTCAGAACTGGCGTTACCTATAGAAATCACCTTTAGAGGTATTTTAATATCCCGGTAATATGTCGATATCAGCCTGCAACCTGTTGTCTTGGTAATCCTCTAGCGTTTCTCGACGGCCATTTTTCAACAAAATATTAGCCATCCGTACATGGCGAACATCTCCGGTGGATGTAAGCATAGGTGCAACGAATCTTTCTTTGCTATACACCGTCCGCTAAATGAATAAGTATGCATATGTTAGAGCACCTATTACAACAAAGCTCGCAACGTACCCAAACTTGCAGAACAGTTGTAGAATATCTAGACGCAAATTCTGCAAGACAGCAGCACATGTGATGTTTCTGCGAATTCGTGACATCCTGATGCATTGCCGCCAAAGGTAACCATTTGCACCTCAACCAAATTTTTTAAACAGAATGCAGCTATATACGTAACTCCATTTGTTTAATTAGAAGCATAATCTGTTGCTGCGGCTGTTCTAGATACTTTTGGTCCTATTTGAGTCCCCTGCACAGTCTCCTTGGACAAAACAACAATAGAAGCATAAAAATATTAATAGATAAACATATTTCTTCAGGTAATCACAGGAAACGTTGCAAACTGATATACATTTTTTCACAAGATATTTATACACTCAATCAAATATGCAACCAAACAGCGGATATTATGAAATGTTAGTGTGACAGTTTTCATACATTACACAAGGTGTATTTGATGAGTGACTATTCACCTCGTATTATACAGAACTAAAGTGGAAAATCTGTAAATTAGAAAAAATTTACCTCTTTACTTTATTTCAACGTTCAACAGAATAAAAATCTGAGCTCCAAAAAAATCCGAATACTTTAGCAAAAATGCCAGGGATGTTTATGGTAGATTGGCGGTTTTTTTCTCACATTAATGCGAGCTTTAAAATATAAGGTTAAGATTTTATAGTTGTCATTTTGGGTTGAATAAAATCATAATCTAAAAGATATGTGAATCAGAATTAAAAATCATTTCTGAAATACGTCATTATTGTTAGTCACTACATGATACCAATCTAAACTAAAACTAACGTATTTCGGGACGAACAAACATTTTAACTTCACGTAAAAAAAGAAGTTTATTGAAAAAAATCACATATAATCTAAAGATAAGGATTGTAAAATTGTTCTCTTAGCTGAAAAACCTTTTGTTAAGTCTTCATTTTCGCAAACTAAAAGTAAAAGGGACAGAAAACATCAGTAAAGCTCATTATGTTGCTTCCTACAAACATTTTGTTTGACATTTAAGCCAAAAACGTGAAGTTTATTACTATAATAAAAAATTTATGACTTCCAAAGTTCTTTGGCTTGTTTTTGTCCTCATGAATCTCAGAAATATTGCCTTTTGGTTCACTTTACTTATGTAAGTTATTCTACTGAGCTAGAAATCCTTCATTCCACTGTAAAACAGAGGGCTACCAGTCAAATTGTGCGGATTTAAAGTGAAATATTTCAGGTATGAACGTTTATCCGATTTTAATAGGACAAAACACGAAAATAGGGTACGAATGCAGACAACGGCATTACAGCCATCAGAAAATAAATGCTAAGTTAAAATTTTAAGCCAAAAAGAAACGCCTGAGATTCTGTTGAACACCACCAACTACACAATAGCAATATTTAATAAAATTCTACTAAAAGATAAGCTTGTCGAAGCATGAAAAATTTTCGACTCGGATTGCTGCCAAAATTTTTCGTGTATCAATTCCTAATTGTCTGAAATAATAATAGAAAATTTAAGTAGTAAATAAATTTAGTTTAAAATGGAAATATTTTTTTAAACTCATCTTACGATCTATTCGACTATCTTTCTTTCCACTTTATAATTGACACACTCGTGAATATGTGCAACGCTATTCTGAAATCTGAGCTTTGAACTTGAAGTTTTCAGTTAAAGACTTCTTTAATTTAATTTACAAGTGTAATTAATTCAGTTTGTTATTTATGCAGTCTATTTTAATTTAATTTGCACGGTTATTTTTAATCAGTCTGGTTCAGAAATTAAGAAATCTTCTGCCATAAATTTCTGACTAAGATTAAATAAAAGAAAGAATCTGAAGATGCGCAACATATAAATTCTAATGACGGACGAGTAGCATCACATTTCACTTTGGCAGGAAGGAAATAAAATAATAAATTAAAAAAACTCACCAACAACTGCAACAGAAGCAAAACAGGAATCCCCACCTCCTTCGTTTTCGACACTGACCACATATTTTCCACTGTCATCTGCGGTTACATCGTTCACCGTCACTACAGACATCTCTCTGCCTTCAAGAATGGACAAGCGGCCGTTACCCACTAGCACTCGTCCCTGCGCACAAGATAGAAGAGGGAATATAATTTTAATTCTTCCCTATATGCTTTAGAAGTCCCTATTATGGACTAGCGCTCTGCTTGAGTATCAAGCGGACGGTAGAATGGCGCAGTAACATCTCTAAGACAGATTTTGCCATTTCCTAGCAAAAGAACTTCAATATTTTCTTTCAGAAATATTTTCGCGACATTGATATACCATGCACAACATTTCAGAGCCACATACATAAACGAAAATAATTACTTCAATGATAAAACATCGGTATAATTTTGGTATTTACGTGGTAAAATGTGGCTATATTTGACAAAACTTACAGATTTCGTAGCTTACAAACGAGCTTATATTTTTTGTACTACGAAATTTAAATTTCTAAAATTTCCATTTAAAAATTTTCATCAGTTAGTGTGCAGTGTTTGTAAAAAGTTTCTCCTACTCTTAATGATGGATTTCAATTTTCAAAGTGCAACAGAAAATCCGAACAGATAACACATATTTTTTTTTTTTTTTTTTTTTTTTTTTTTTTTTTTTCAGTTTACTCACACTTGCAGAATTTTAAAATTCTCTCAAACATTTTTTATCATAATTATGAATAATCTGTGTTGATGTTTTATTGTAATTGGGAATAATATGATAAATTATGAGTGTATTTAATTTGCTTGATATACAGCACAAGAAATATAGGAAATGAAGATACTATATTTTTTACTTTATACTATGTTTATATATGTGTTATTATTTTTAAATTTCGTCTTGTTTAATATTTTTTTTGCGTAGTAAAATCAGGCAAATAGCCATCGGCCATTTTTTATTAATGATGGATGAAGAAAATATTATTTATAAATCCCCTAATAAGTAAACGCGATCTTGAATTCAAACACACTTCAACTATTTATATTTACTTTTAGACGAACTTCAACTATTTATATTTAATTTTAGACACATTTCAACTATATATATTTCAACACATTTCAGCTATTTACGTTTACTTTTATACTTTAAATATTTACATTTACTTTTATACTTGAACTATTTTTATTCCAAAGGGGCTTTGTCCCTGAAGGACTAATGTTTCCGTTTGGCGATTTTGCGTTGAATCACTATAAACAGTGAATCGCTTTTCAAACTGTTACCACCAAATGTTAGAGTCTTGCATTATATTTGAAGAAATTAAATAATGAAAAATCTGCATAAATGTAAGTCTATTTCTCGCATTGTGATAAAACAACGGTACATAGAACCGTCGAATGTTGACTAACGTAATCCTCATATGAATATGGGCATATGGAAGACCAAATTAGAAATTTGGAATTAGTTTTATGATCGATTTCATATTTTGTAAACTTTTAACGAGTTTTCGAGTAACAAACTCAACAACTTAAAAGCCAGCAAATGACAATACTCTACGGGGGGGGGGAACCTTTTTATCTCTAGCGCGCGGAACTGTATATCGGAAATTCTAAAGATAATGCTGGTTTTAATATTAATTTGGGACATTGCTATTGAACAAGATTTTGTGGTTTAAGTGCAAAGAACATGATATTTATTAAATAAAGGTTATACACAAAACGTTAAAAAAACGCCCTTTTGAACGTAATTTAAAATCTGAAACCTTTCAGATTTTTTTTTTTTTTTTTTTTTTTTTTAATACTCAGTTTATACTTCAATAGTTATATTTACTTTTATACTTCAATATTCTTTAATTCAGCATTTATATTCCTTTAGATTCAACTATTTATTTACTTTTATATTCAACTGTATTTATTTATTTTAAACTCAACTTATTTATATATATTTTTTTACTTCGATTATTTATATTTACGCCTAACAGTTAATTTTTTTAACGTAAAACAGGTTAGGCAAATCTTTGACGTATATCTTTGACGTGTTTCCAAAATATTTAAGTTACAATATCACATGGAATTCTTGATAACATTTGTATATCAATCAGACTACAATTCTGTGTAAATATTCAAATTTGCGATTTAAAACTAATGCTGAATGATTTAGAGTTAGCGGGAACGCAATGGCGATACATGTACCAAATAAAATAAAACTTTAAAAATTAATTTAACTGTGCAGGATGTTTACTAAAATAATTAATTTATTTATACTTAGTTAAATATTGTATTAATATAACATTAATCAGAAATAAAAGGCTAGAAAGAAAGTAAATAGAATACAAAACTCTGAGAAAGTCGTTTTAATTTTAATAATCTAATTATAAATTTATGAAAATAAATCATTCCCAAAATTGTGATAAATTATTCCAGTGGTCTCAAACTCATATTGCATACCGACCAAATGCAAACGAACTGACCAAATGCAACCGAAACTAGCTGACGGGGCAGCCTTTTTGGCTGATCTTTGGAATATGGTAACAGGTAGTTTGGCGACATTTTGGAGGCGATAAAGGTTACTACCTAGGACTTTGGGAATAATGTGAGAAGTACTCATTTCCGATTACGCATTATTTTGTGTGAGGGAAATGAGAGGTCATGAGATATGTCATGTGACATTAATGGACGAATCACTGTTTTTAATCGGAAAAGGGGGTAAATTTGTAAAACATATCTGCTGTACAGCATTAGTTTCATTCTATGTTCTGTGAAACAGTGTTGTTTAATATTTGAATCCCATAGCCCTATATAAAGTAAATCCGAAATTTTTATTGCGTTTATGTGTGATTGAAAAGAATTGCTTAATTGCGGATAAGTATGAATGTCCAACATGTGAGTATGAAATGAGCTTGTGTGAAAGGAAGGATATTACCGATAAGTTTGAATGGCGGTTGCAAGAAATCTGGTGAAAAATGGACATTTTGTGATGCGCCATGCACTCAGATCTGTAGAGATTAGGTAAGTTAGATTTTTAATTATTTGAGGATGTTATTTTTATGCATTGTTCTAAATGTAAGGAGTAAATAAATTAATATGGGTATTATTGGAAAATTGTTATTAGCAATGATTTAGTTTAAAGTAATTAGGATTGTAAGCTAATTTTATTAATAATGTATGTGCTATTTATATTTTAAGTGCGTTTTTAAATTTAATTATATTTTAATTTAATGATCGTGATTTTGAGAGTTATATGTTTGTAGTATTTTGGAATACGTTTGAGTAGAAGTAAATGTGCATGGAAAGAATTTAAGTATTGCACGAAGATTTGGAACCATTTTTAATGTTGCGTTAGAAATTGGTAGGTGAGGTTTATAATAGATAATTTAGAGGGAAAAGTTTGGATATTTTATTATTTTATACGTGGCAAATGTTCATCCTTGGAAAGGGTATATACTTTTTGCGATCAGGTTTCATATATGTCCTTTTTACCGAAGTTTAAAGATTCACAAAATTTCATGCATTTCGTGAAATTTTTCTAATTTATGAGAAAAAAAAGCAGGGTACATGGATATAGTGAAGAGTGTGCGCAATCTATTTTGTGTAAATCTGGGATGTTTTTTAATTAAAATAAGTCGACGTGTACATGGTTTAATTATATTTTAATTAAATGATAGTTATTTTGTGAAATTATATGTTTTAGCAATTTGGTATTACGTTTGAGTGGAAGTAAACGTGCATGGAAATAATTTAAATATTGACACTAAGTATTTGTAACCATTTTTAATGTTTTGTTATGAATTCGTTGGTGACGTTTATAATAGATAATTTAGAGGTAAAAGTTTTGGATATTTTATTATATTATACGTGAAATGTTCATCCTTGGATAGGGGGATATTAATTTTCGCGATCAGGTAATTTCATATATGTGCTTTTACCGAGTTTAAAGATTCACAAAATTCTGCATTTTCGTGCCAATTTTTGAATTTATGAGAAAATAGCAGTTTAGATGGATAAAGTCAGAGTGTGCGCAATGCCATTTTTGTACAATTCTGTTTTTTTTTTTTTTTTTTTTTTTTTTTTTTAAGTAAAAATAAGTCGCGTGTACATGGTTACTGTGTATGTGACGCGGCAAGGAGTTTGCGATTCTGCACTTTTTCCCAATTTTGCAGTAATATTTGTCATGATAAGCAGCTTTGTTCCATAAAATTTCTAGCAAAGTTATAGTTCGGCTAGTAGATTGTTGGAAAAAGTGTTGAGTAAATAAAAAGAAAAGAAACAGTCTTTACTTGTGAAGACAAATGGCGGCGAAAAAAAAAAAAAAAAAACAGAGGGTTGCTATAGCAGAGTTGGTCGCCAAATTTTCGCCAAAAATCGCCAAGTTACCATAATCCAAAGATCAACCGATTTTTTTTTAATTAAAAATTGATAACAAAAATTAAAAAATATTTTAGTATTTATCAACACATACATAAACAATAACAATAATACTGAAAATGAAAAAACATCAAATTTATATCTATTTTCAATCTGAAATCTAAAGTTTGGTACCTGCGAGACATTTCTGTTGATTACGCTTTGGATTTCAGATACAGTGGGTAAAAAAGAATTGGCAATTGCCTGATAATTGCTGATATTTCCTAGTAAAGGAAGTGCTTGACAATTTTACTTGGTCATAACAAACACAAGAGGTAATAAACACACAAATGTAATGAAACTTTCAATTTAATGTACTTTTTACACAAAATATACAACAAAAACGTAAATTTGCGTGTGAAAAAAGTATTAGCAAAGTTTTAACTACTATGCAAATTTTGTTATGTTGAGGTCACGTGTTTAGACTGATAAGAAACCCTGTTAATATAAAGTCTATCGTGCTACTTCAAAACTTTTAAAATGTTATTTTGTTAATACTGTGGTAAACTGGTTTCGAAGTTGAAGGAGTTGCATGTTAATGTTAAAAACATAATTATTCAGCGCAGAACTGAGGGTTTAACTTATCGTGCTAAAGGATTACAATTGAACATTTATTTATTTACTGTTAGAAGTGTTGTAAAAAAGTTCAAAGAGACAGCAATCGACGGAAAATCAGATTAGAAGTGGACGGCCTCGAATATTTTCTGCAAGATGAAACGTGGCATTATGAAAGAGGTAAGAAAAACC